AGGCCGGCGATTGAGTCGAGAACTCCAAACTGGCTTAGGGACTTGGGCCTTAAGTACCAGGCTCCGAAAGGGCCGGGATCTGGTCCAAGTCTCATGGTATGGCAGGGGGTTGGTAGACTTAGGGACAAGATCGAAGCACCATACCGCCCACTTTAGCTACTTAGGAACATGGCGCTGCCAACAATGGCTCCCACCGGGCTTAGGGACATGAGACCCTGCCAGCCCGGGCATGGCCGTCGTTTTCCAGACTGCCAGTTGCTGCAAGGGGGCAGAAAATGGCGGCATTGTTGGAAAGGGTACATAAGGCATAGACTTAGGGGCAAGGCGCCATTTCAAACAGCCATTTCAGAAGCAGCAACTCCCGAGGCGCGCAGGAAGAAGGCAAAGCTGCACAGGGAATAGCACCAGTGCAGGAGGGGGGCGTTGCGCTGCAAAGCAGGGAGCGCGGGCGCTGCAAGCAGAGGAGCGCGGCATTGTCGGAAGACAGCAGCGGGGAGAGCACAGGTGGGGTTGCAGCGTTGTTCTTGACACCGCTTCTCTGCTTGTGAAATTGGGGATGCTATGGGACTGCTAGCGGTGCTGCAGCGCTTTGGAAGTGAGCACCTACCGCACCAAAATGGTGCTTCTTAGAATAAGTGCTAGGGTTGCTTCTGGCAGCACTTTGGAAATGCTGCTTCCCTGTGGGGTTCTAAAATTGCTGCAGCTTTGGAGATCCTGCCTTACTGTGCTAGGGTTGGGGCTGACACTATGGTTGTAGTTGACAGCGCTCTGGAAATGCTGTTTCTTTGGTCGCAGAAATGCCGCTCTCGGCAGGGGTGGTAGGGTTGCTTCTGGCAGCGCTTTGGAAATGGTGCTTTTGGGTGGGGTGCCGCGGGTTGCTTCTGACAGCGCTTTAAAAATGGTGCTTTCTAGCAGGGGTGCTAGGGTTGCTCCTGACAGAGCGCTTCGGAAACTGTGCTTTTTAGTGGGAGTGCCTGGGTTGCTTCTGGCAGGTGGGGTGCCTTTCTTCAATGGTGCTTTTTGGTGGGCCTAGGGTTGCTTCTGGCAGGTGGAGGGTGCTGTGGTTTCTTTTGGCAGCACTTTGATGGGGGTGTTAGGGTTGCCGCAGCACTTTGAAAATGCTGCTCTAGGCAGAAGTGCTAGGGTTGCTTCTGGCAGCGTTTTGAAAATGCTGCTTTGTTGTGGTGGCTAGGTTGCTGCGGATT